CATCTCGCCGCCGCCGATGGGCTTTACCTTCCGACCTACCCTAATCCGTGCCGCTCCTCCCTGATCCTTGCTCATAGCAATGTACGGTACAATATACGTTCTATGACACAACTCGCAGGTATGAGAAAGACCTTTCGGAGCTCGTTAGCTTTCCTTCCGTTTCGGCGCAACAAGAGCACGAGGAAGACATGCAGGCGGCTGCTGAGTGGCTGGCTGCACGACTGAAGATCGCAGGGCTACAAGTGAGCTGTTATGAGTAGTTATGAACATGTGCCATGCGTCATACGTCAGCTCATGTCGTAGCCTGATACTGTTACAAAGCCTCCAGTCACCCGCGCTCCTGCAGCCACACGTTCGCGCGACACTGCTGTGACTGTAGGAATGAAGGACCGTTACAATGGTTCCCTGTGACCGTGCTGTGTACAAGCATGCTAAGCAGCGTTGAACACCTCTGGAGTACTGCTCACTCGTGCAGTACCGCTACCGCGCATGTACCGGCTTGTCGTCTACAGAAGGTTGACATCCTGCCAACCTACGGACCGCACCCGGTGGTGTGCGGCGAGTGGCTGCAAGCCACCGACCCACGGGCCCCAATCGTCCTGGTGTACGGCCATTACGACGTGCGACCCGTGGGCCCCCTGGATGCCTGGGAGACACCGCCCTTCGAGGTAACTGGGGCGGTCCTGCTCTCCCTGATCTTGCTCCTCTCCCTGAGCCTCGTCGTACGTTAGGGTCTTCCTCTTTACAGGTACCTCCCTCCCTTGGCCTCCCTCCCTCCCTACCTAACTATCTAACAACGACAATTATAGGCTAACCCAACTATCCAGCCTCATGCGGAATCTTCATCCCTGCGTGCCCTCCCTGCCTCCCCGTATGTGCAGATGGTCAAGCGCGACGGGTACTACTTCGGTCGTGGTGTGGACGACAACAAGGGCGGACTGCTGGAAGCGCTGCAGGTGGGGGGTGAATCTTGTATGTCGGGCGGTGCGGTTGCTTGCTAAGCGTTGGAGGAGGACGGTAGTATCGCCGCTGGCTCGCTGTTACAATGGCTGTTGCTTCAGGACGCCATGCGGCTCCCTCCGTCCCTTCCCATTTCCGCACTCCCACTTCCCGTATGTGGGCACTATGCATCAAAGGGCTCATTTCCGTCCTCCCCCTCCTCCTCCTCCTCTTCGTCTTCTTCTTCTTTCCGCCACCTAACCAGTCGCCCAATATGCCTGCCTCCTTCCATTCCCTCCCTCAGGCGGTAGAGGCCTGGCTGCAGGAGACGGGCGCCCTACCGGTCAACGTCATATTCCTGTTGGAGGTCGGTAGTTGGGAAGTTGAAACATATGTGGTGTACTGCAGTGCTGTACATGTGGCAGCAGTTGTGGGTTGGTTTGTTGGACTAGCTTGGTCTTCGTGCTGTTTAATACATTAGTGTAGCTTCTGCTGTCCATCAACTTACTGGGTGGGGTTGATAATGGGTGGGGTTGGGCCGGGCTGCGAGGCGTTGGTTAAGGGCATGGCAGCAGACTCGTCGCCGCGTGCTACCATACAGCTATCCCGCATGTTTCACATCGGTCGTCTTACCCGCCTCTCCCTCGCTCAGGGCCAGGGGTCGATCATGTCTCCGCAGCTGCCGGCCTTCCTGCGCACCCACGGCTCCCGCTTCATAACGGACCTCGTCCTGTTAGCGGACGGCGGCCAGCCGGATCCGCAGCAGGGCGCCATCGTACTGGGGCTGCGGGGGGTCGTGAGCGCGGAACTGCAGGTGGGGGGGGGCAAAGAGGAAGCACCAAACACAGGAGGGGGGTAGGATGCATAGGAGGCTAGCACCGTGTCGGTAAGCTGCAGGTTTGGGATGGGGGCAGGGCGGGAGTGGAGGTTTGGGGGAAGGGTTAGGAGCATGTGTTGGTGGCATGCATGGCGAAGTGCGGTGCGTGCTGCGGTTGCTACAGTATACCAACATCACAGCTGCTAGCGACCTCTCACGCACCTGCAGCGCGGCATGGAGGGAGAAAGCGGCTACTGCGGGTGCTGCTCGAGCTGAAACTTCCTAATGATGCGGTGGTGTCTGGTGTGTTATATGCTGCTGCTGCGGTTCTGTGGTGCACCCCCCCCCCCCCCGCCCCGCTTGCACAGGTCACCAACGCCGTTGAAGACGAGCCCAACAGCACGGAGGGGAGCTTCGACGCCAACACCGTGCTGGTGGAGCTGCTGGCGAGCATGCGGGAGGCGGGCAGCCGGAGGGTGGCGGTGGAGGGGTTTTATGAGGTGGGGCGGTGGTGAGGGGGGGGGTGACAGAATGCGTAGCGCAGATGGATTACCATACCAAGGCAGCTACGCAACGTGCTGGCGGATGGGAGCGGGTCAGCAATTGATGCCTAACGCCCAGCATACATACACGTCTTGTATGTACATTAAATACCGGTACATCTTTCACTTTTGCCGTGTGCCTTTTCGCTATGTGTACGTAGGGTGTGGAACCCACGACGGAGGAGGAAGGGCTGGACGACCTGCGACCCACTGACCGCGAGCAGCAGGTATAGTTAGCCGGCATGGCTACCGCTGGGATGCTGCTACCAAATGACGCCACCACTGCTGCAGCTGCATGGCAGTCTAATGATGAACGACCGTATACTCGCACACAAAAAAGTCCTTGGTTGTACGGCAGAACGGCAGCGCGCAGTATGATGTTGCATGGTTAGACGCACCTTGCCTCGGGGCTAAGAACATTGGTTTATGGCCCTTGTAGCGTCTGTACTTCCTGTCCATACCGGATGCTCCAGTCTTGCGTGTGTCGTCTCTTCGAATCCTCCCTCCCCTCCCGTAGGAAGCGGCCGAGCAGGGCTCGTACGTCTACGCGGGTGAATCCGGCATTCCTGAACAGAGGCAAGTATGGATTGAATGCCGTACAATACAATCATACGTCAGCAGCACCGTTGCTTGCGAATGCCTCGGCCTCCTCCCTTACCGCTTTGTTCTTTCCAAGGGACAGCTTACCGTACACTCTTCACGTCTCATCCCCACAGCCGCACCGCACATATGATGCTTCTTTTTCCACTGTACTGTGTCAACCGTACGCACGTGGCAAGCTCCTGATGTTTGGCGCACATGGGCGTGGGCGTGATGAGCACGTGCCGTGCACATGCCCTCCCCAGGCGGCAACAGCCCACACTTGAGGTGGTAGCGCTGCAAGGCGGCTCCACGCGGGGCGGGGACATCAAGACCGCCGTACCGCGAAGCGCCTCGGCACGGATTACCTGCAGCCTGGTGTTGGGACAGAAGCCGGATGGCATTCTGGGAAAGGTAGTTGCCCTTGGATTGAAAGCAGCTTGGGATTAGGAACAGCAAAGAAGGGTTAGGGTAGGTTGGGTCATAATGACCGTCATACAGTCTCGGTAGTCTCGAAGGCGAGTGTCCCCGGTATGGAAGGACTGTCAATGGAGAGGCTGCTGCTGTGGCAGCTGTACAAAAATAACATCTTGCAAGTACGATTCACCCCACCGCCCTCTTGCTTAACATCTTTTGGCTGTGCAACCGCCCGCTAACCGCCAAACGTCGCAACAGTTGACGGCTCACGTGGCTCGTCACTGCCCGTCGTACGCGCGATGCAAGCTGACAGCGCTAGGCGGCGGCGCTCTCCCCTGGAGCGTACCGTACGACACGCTGGGCAACGCCGCAGCAGCTGCCGTACACAAGGCCCTCACCGGGCGAGATCCGCTGTTCCTTAGGTGGGTTGGTTGGAAGGTTGGGGTGCATGGTGTCAAAAGCAAAACCAACCTGGGTTGACCACGAGTGGGGGAACGTATAGGGAGAGGTGGTGGCAGGATGCCGCAGAAACAAATGATGTTTTGGTTTTGGTAGGCTGAATTGGTTAACGGTGCCTTCTGCTCCCGTAGCTCGTGCTCCTGCCGCTGTATTACGTACATTCGCTGCTGCCTTTGCTGCTGCTGCTTCCTTCCTTCGCTTCATACCATGTGAGAGTGTATCGCCGTTCCAGTCATCCCCCAAGGCAAAACGCGCATAATAAACCCCACCCAACCCGTATGTACCATCCCTGTAGTGGCGCCGCTCCCATACCCGCCCTGGACGCCTTCCATCGGATGGGTTGGATCACCACACCGTTCGGCTGGGGGCTCGGCGGGCGAATCCACGAGTCCAATGAGAGCCTGCAGGTCGAGGCGTACGACAGGGGCCGCCGTGCATGGGCGATGATCCTCCACGAGCTAGCACGGCAAAGCCTATCGTACAAGCACGACGGCGCCGCCATGTTTAAGCGTATGCTTGTGTCAATCGCCGAGTGGATCGGTCCTTGGGGCATCGCTGGTAGTATTGCGACTGCAATAGCTGCTATCTACGTTGTCGGATTTGTTGTAGTGCATTGGGCTTTTCCTGTAGGTTCATCTGCCAGTCGGCGTTAACAGGTATAGCTATGCCAAGGGATGTCAGCTTCCAGGCATAGGTCCTCCCGTTCTCCAACAAGGGGGTGTAAGCGTCCCTGATAAGAAGTTTCAGCTCAGTTGACATGGGGTCATAGATGCGATTCTACCTTCATCAAAGGGCCCCGCCCTTTTCCGGCTCTGGGGAACCTGAACTCCCTTGTCCAGAAACAACCGGTAGCAGGACACAAGTGCTAGTTCGGTTGAACAGTTGTGCTTGTTGTAACGCACATTTGCTTTCTTCCGCACCCTTGCGTCGAGGCGTCAGCAGCCCTCCACAGCCCAGCGACCATGTGCCCTAACCAGCAGCACAGCACACGTACCGTACGGCACATAGTACGCATGGACCTAGCGTGCGCGGATAAGGCTGAAGCCAGGACACAGCAGGAGGGCCTCCTGACAACACGCGGCAGCACCCTGATGACTTGCTCCTCCCCACCCGGCATCACCAGTTTCACAGCTGCATCATGCATGCATCCAAACCCCTAGGCCGCTACCACCACGGCCATCACCATCCCGCCATGCATGTACACCCCCCTCACCCCCGTCAGCCCCCTCTTGCCACATCGCATCACCTCACCCTGCTCTCAGCCTGCCGCCCTGCCGCGGATGCCGCGGCGGCTGGGCCCCCAGGTAGCGTGCCGCCTCCCTCGCCGCCTCCTGCGGCCCCAACACCGCCTCCGCCAACCGCACCGCCCGCACCAGAATACGCTTCTGCAGCACCCGCCACTGCAGTGCCAGACCGCCGCAGGTCAGCCCATCCGACAACGCAGCCGCTGCCGCAGCCGCTGATGATGGTGGTGCATGCGCTGTAGTGCTTACTGGTGCTCCGTCTGCTGCTCCGTCTGCTGCTCCTTCCGCTGCGGTTGCTTCTGTTGTTGCTACAGCCCTGATAGTTGCTGTGGTGTCGGCTGCTGCCGCCACAGCCTCAGCTTCCCCTTGGGTAGTGCATGTCGCATGCACCTCCACCGTCCTGACAGGTACACTTGCCTCAACGCTTGTCCGCGCGGCGGCGACAGCGCCCGGAGATCCATTGTGCTCCAGTTTGCCACCCGCTTCCGTCGAGCCTAATTCCTGTTGCTGCTGCTGTTGCTGCTGCTGTTGCTGCTGTTCTTGCTGCTGCTGCCGCTGCTGGGCCCTCGGCTGCCCGTCGCCCGCCTGCCGCCCGCCCACCTCCCCGCACAGCTGCTGCTGCTGCTGCAGGTCCTGCTGCAGGGTGGTGGGCAGGGCGGCCAGCTGGCGCAGGCAGGCGGCATGCAGCCAGCGGAGGGCCTGCAGGTCACCCTGGCGGGGAAAACGGTGGGGGGCGGAGGGGAGAGGGGGCGGGGAGCCTTTACCAAACGCTGGCTAATTCAATACGTGGGTATGGTGCGGGTGGGTATGGCGTGTTGAAGTTGGGAGGATTTTAGATCCAACGCGACGCAGCGATACGGGTTTGGGCACTCCTGGTGAAGAATGTGGTCTTGCATCCGTTTTCCCATCGTACACATCGCGCCTTCTCCCCCCTTGCCTCCCCTTCTACCCAGCCGCCATCCACCACCACCTCAGCCGTCCCCCGCACCTGCTCGCTGACCGGCTCCCCCGCCGCCATGAGGTGTCCCCTGCTGCGCCGCTCCGCCGGGCTGGCGGCGCAGTGCCGCAGCAGGTGCAGCAGCTGCCAGCTGGGCTGTCCGCTGGCGTGCAGGAAGCAGTCGCAGGACGGCAGGTGGGGCGCACCGGGGCTGGCGAGGGCGGCGGAGGGCAGCGGCAGCAGGGCGGCGTCCAGCAGGGCGGTGTCGTGGGGGTTGTCCTGATGCGGCAGGGGAGGCAGGAAGGGGCGGGGTGGGTAGGGTTGGAAGGGAGGTGTGAGGACAGCGGATGGAGGGAAGGGAAGGACAGGGCAGGAGCCTCTGTGTGGCATGCGCACGGAGGCACGGAGGTGTGCACGGGGGCAGAACGGTAGCAGCTGTCTGAAAGAGGTATCAGATAGTACGCCAAAAATGGAGGAGACGAGACGCCCGAGAGACGCGATCCAATCCAACACCAGTCCCAAGCTGCCGTGCTCTACCGGCATCCCAACCACCCACCCACCTGCAGTACGAAACCGTAGTGCTCCAGCAGCTCCAAGTTGGTGTGTCGCCCGTAGCACAGCATCACCTGCTCGCCTCGGCGGTACGGCCGCCGTACAAGGATGCAGTACTGCTGCGCCGCCGCGTCCCAAACGCCGTCACCAGCGATGGCGCCTGAGGCCGCGTCAGCATCCATGTCGCCACCGTCACCGCCGCAAGCATTGGAGGCTGCGGAGGCGCTCTCGGCTTGGAGGGTCACTTCTTTCTGACTTCCATTCTGGCAGGGTTCCGGAGCTAGCTCGCCGCCGTAGGCTACATCCGCTGCTGCTGCCGGGTCGGCCCCTCCAGTACCCACAGCGGTGGTCCGGGCATCGCGGCTTCGGTCGCAAGCCTCGCAACCGCTAACGTCGGCTTGGACATGTGCATTGTGGCATACGCTGGCGCCAGAAGTGTCTACACCCGGCGTTGACGCTGCCTCCCCAGCATTTGGTGCTGCGTCAGCAACAGCAGCGAAGGCAACCGGGGCATTGCTCGTAGCGGAGGGAGCTCCGGCAGATACGTGGCCTCCTGTCGCCGCACCGGTGTCATTTGCCGCAGCGGCACCTACAACAGCACCTGTCGTATTCCCCGCATTCCTTGCGACCACGGCAGTAACACCAGGAGCGGCCGCCGCCATCGCAACTCCGCCCAGCTGGGGTGTGTACGGCGGTGGAGGCGGTTGGTAGTTGTGCAGATCTCCGTACGGTGTGAGCGCCCCGGCGGGGCACCAGGGCAGGTACATGGTGCGGCTGTGCAGGGTGGAGGCAGCCCACAGCCAGGCGCGGAGGACCGTGAAGCGCTTGGGCAGGCCTGCGGACGTGCGGAGGAGGGCAAGGAATGCGAGCAGCCAAAAGGAATGGCAATACCGGCAAGCAGCAACAATTGCAACAAGGCTAACCGCTGCTTGTCTAGCCGCATGGAAGCGAATTAGATAGCCAGGCTACCGTACAGGTTTCGACATGGGAGTGACCGTCGCGACCTAGGCTTGAAATCACGAATGCCCAAGCTCTCAACCTGCACGATCGTTTCGCGCCCTGGCATGTAAAGACTCTCCTCTCGTCCTTCTCGCTCATACCGGTACACACGCAATCCCAACGAGGACAACATCATCTCTGTGGGAGGGACATCATATTTCGGCATTCACACAGTACGTTCCGATTCCTGACCAGTTTCTGTAACACACACGCCCAATCGCACATGCCCCCACCCACCTAGCTCCTGCAGCAGCGGCAGCGCGCCCTGCCACTCCTCCCGTGCCTTCTCCGCTGCCTCCGCTGCCACATCACACGCGTGCCGCAGCTGCAGCTCCGCAGTCTCCTGCGGGCTGAAGTTGAGCAGGGAGGTGTAGGATCGAGGCAGCTGCTTGAGGTAGGGCCACCAAAAGGAATCCGGGCCCTTGGAAACCTCGTGAAGCAGGTGGCATGCTAGCAGCTGGTGAGGGCTTAGGGGCAGGAGTGATGGGGTGGTGGTGCTGCTGCGGTGACTGGTGCTGGGGGCTGGGGATGGAGAGGTGTGCGGCGCTGAGGAGGAGGGTAAGGAAGGGTTGAAGGAGGGGTAGCAGCGACACAGAGCGGTGGTGAAGTGGGGTTCACGCAGTGCGCTGCGGGTGGTGAGGAGCAGGTGCTCGGGAACACGGAGGATGACTTCATCTGTAAGGTGAAATGGCAAGGAGTTGAGAAGGAGATGAGAGGGAGTTAGTAAGGGGGAATAAAATAGTGTTATACGTGGAAGCGACTTGCAGGCATGGCAATGACGGTCCTACCAGGCTGCAGGTCCTTGGTAGCGACAATCCCACGCCAGCCCTCCTCCACGTAGGCAGCTTCTATGCCGTTAAAGGCGACACCATGCTTCTTGCACCAGGCTGTAAGCTCGGGGTCTGCCATGGCAGATGTAACCGACGTTTGCAGCTTACTGTGGCAACAACATCGCCTGTTAAATGCGCGATAAGTTATGCTGGAATTATGTTACAACCCCCGATTCGCTGTCGTTTCCCTGTACAGACGGCGGACGACAGTCGACAGACGGCGTACGGCAAGTGTACTAGCCAAAGAAGGATTCCATTTGTGTTTCACACCTCTATGATATTGCACTTTTAGCGTGGCAGGCACTATTTCTAGTTGCAAGTGCAGGGAACTAGTTACAAAGTGTTGGCGCAGTCTACATAGCTTTTTCTGACGCCTACAAGTTATGTACGCCTCATAGTTGACATTGATACATTTATACGATCTCTGCGTATAACACCTAGGTTCGCTGAACGGGAAGAATGTCAAAGCTGCTCCGGGTATGGTCGGCATTGGCGTCGGTCGCCAAAGTCGCTGCGTATACTGACGCCGTTTGCTTTGGCCCAGGTGTTAAACCCAGCTATTACTCAGTATAGAGATCGTCGCTTTGAAGGCAGCGAGGTGCGCGTTGGCGGGGATGGTACTGGCAAGCGTGGCAGCACGGCAGGCTTGTATGTCGCATGCCAAGCACTCTAGACCTTGGGGAAAGGGCTTGATGGCACGTAGACTTATGCTCTGCGTAATCCCATGTGGTGAGGGCTTGCCCTTGCCCCCATGTAGCTGCTTTGCGCATGCACTACCACTCCCTGACGCCGCGCTTGGGATTACTTGAGCACTTCATGGCCCAAGCTTACCAACTACAATACACCTCCACTACACCTCAACGCACCAACCATAACAATGGGACTGCGATTGCATTCCCATCCATGCCCTTTACACCAATGCATTTCCCTTCCTGCCACCTCCCTTCCTCACCTCCCCGCGGGCTGACAGGCGGACTGGGAGAATGCGCTGGCCACCAGCACCACCGTCTACGTGGGCAACCTGGCGTTCACCACGCGCGAGGAGCAGCTGTACGACGTGTTCGGGCGCGTGGGGCACATCAAGCGCATTGTCATGGGGCTGGACAAGATGCAGAAGACACCCTGCGGGTTCGCCTTTGCCATCTACTACACAAGAAAGGTACACTACACGCTGACGCGTTGGGTTATCCTTACCGGCCCATCTCCGTTTTGGCGCTTATGTACCATAACTTCATATCAGGATGTCCTCTAGCCGTACCTGGTAACAAGCACTGGACCTCCTCAGCCGCCATCACATCCTCCCGGCTGTGCCCTGTCCCCGCTCCCCCCACCCATCCGCCGCCTCCCCCCAGGACGCCGAGGAGGCGGTTGCCTTCCTGAACGGCACGCTGGTGGACGAGCGGAACATCCGTGTGGACCTGGACTGGGGCTTCGTGGAGGGCCGGCAGTACGGCAGGGGCCGCTCGGGAGGCCAGGTGGGGGAGGAGGAGTGTTGGGAGGGAGACAGCGGGATTAGGGGGCCCGGTTTGGCTTATTTTTGTTGGATGGGATACGTGTTTACGCATGCAGCAACCGCTCCTCGTCCCATTCTACCCCTCTATGCTCCGCCCGCTAGCCGCCCTTATCTTTCCCTACCCGCACCTGTCCCCTGCCACACACCCTCCCGCCAGGTGCGTGACGAGTTCCGGCAGGACTACGACCCAGGTCGCGGCGGGTACGGCAAGCTGATGCAGGCGGAGATGATGGAGCAGATGGGACTGGGCATGGACGCAGCAGCAGGCGCTGGCGGGGGCGGCGGAGGCAGGGGAGACGGGCGCGGGGACTTCAAGCGGCAGCGCGTGTTTGGCGGCGGCGCCGCCGCCATGGGGGCTATGCAGGGGCGAGGTGGCGCGGGAGGGGGTTCTGCTGGAGGGCAGGGAGCTGGCGGTGTGCAGGGAGGGGAGGAGGGGGCCGGGGCGGGGGCTGGTGGGGGCGCAGAGGAGGTGCAGGTGGAACAGGAGCATGGGAGTGGTGCACCGGAGGAGATGCAGGGTGGGGAGGAGGCAGCGGGAGAGGAGTTTGGGGGCGAAGAAGGGTTTGGCGGAGCGGTTGATGGTGAGGGGGAAGGCGGGGGGTTCGGTACTGAGGAGTTGCTGCCTGAGCCGTTGGGGGATGAGGCGTTTGAGGGTGGGGAGGACGGGTAACAAGAGGCCATGCTGGGTTACCTGCTCTTGACGGCTTCAGACACAGCTGGATTTGTTTCAGGGACCGCTGCCGTAAAGGATGTCCGGATTGAAAGGGATGCTTATGTTCCCTGTTGTTGGCTTGCCATGGCTTCTGTCGTAGCTATCCCCGGCAGCATGGCGCGAGCACCTGCAACGGTAGCGTGCATGTACCCTACCCGTGCCTCAATGATGATGGCGTGGCCTACTTACATGGCCCTTGACTGAATGCTCGATAACATGTCTTCCTTTGTTGTGGCTATGCGGCAAGTACGGAAACGGGGGACCGCCGGAAAGTCCCCAAAAACGGGTATAAAGCAGGCGTCCGAACTGCCCATTGGCACGGTGCACTACACATGCATCGATTCCTGGTACAACTGTCAGGTCTAGCAACAAGCCAGTCCTCCCACCGTACGACTACGGCAGTACACATCTGAACATACCATGTACGGCACCACTGAAGTCAGCGCGCCAAGGGGCAAAGTGTTTAACCAAAGTATCTAGCCTAACCTCCGCCAGCCGTCCGTGTCATGGCGTGACCTCCTTGCAACGACCCATACCGCCTCTCCCCTCACTCTTTAGCAAAAGACGCGACGCATTGCTGCGTAGTGGCCCGTGCTCGGCTGTCGCTACCCTCCACCGCACCGCACGAATACACACCGCCCTAGCTGCAATCTACATTACCGTCCGCAACAACAACGGTGACCCCCTCAACGCCCCCTCCAGCGCCCGCCCGCCGGACCATTGCCCCTGCTGCCTCTACCCTACCATCTTGTCCCGAGGACGGGTCTGCGGCCTGTCACCGGTTCCCGGCAACAACTGTCGTGCCGCACTACCAGGCAGGCAGACGCCCCCAGCCCCCCAGGCGCAGAGTTGCGTTCCGCTTCCCGCTCCCCTTCCTTCCTTCCAGGCCCCCACCACACACAGCGACAAGCGCTGAGGCCCAGCCACCCCCTAACCACCACTTGCTGCTGATCCCCTGGTCCCCATCCTTGGCACCACCCGCTGCCTCCGGGTGCCCCTCACAGCCTCACCTCCTGCGGCAGACCGCCCAGCTGCCCCCACAGCCCCAGCAGCCGCTGCAGGTGCGCGTCCTCACCCAGCCGCTGCCGGGCGGAGGGGGCGTCCCACAGGGACTGCAGCTCCTGGGGGGAGGGATGGGAGGGGATGGGGGGGGTGAAGCAGGGGAAGGGACGGGTGGTACGTAGGCGCGCAGGGACAGTTGAAGGGACCCATGACTTATACGGGCGCTGCCAGCATGCGAAGAGGGAAGGCGCGGACGGCACACGCAGATGGCTAGATGGTGGCTAGCAGGCCGCAGCGAACACCACTCGTCCTGCAAGGAACCCGGTGTCATACCCGTACACACACTCGTACCATGAAATCGATACAGACAACCATCCTGTCCCGACCGTACCCAAGCGCTCCCCGCCCTGCACCTCACCTGCTGCAGCGCTGCTCTGAAGCTGCTCTCCAGGTCTGCCCCTGCCGCTCCTCCCGCCGCCGCCACCGGCCCCCCCAGCGGCACCGCCTGCAGCACCCCCGCGTCCGCCAGCCCCCCGCCCGCCCCCACCATGGCAGCTGCGGCAGCCGCCACCGCCTCCGCAACACCATGCCAGCCCCCCGCCTGCTGCTGCTCACCCTGCTCCTCCTCCTGCTCCTCCCCGCCCCCGTCCCCGCCCCCGCTGCACCTCAGCAGCACCGCGGCGGCACCCGGCAGCACCCGGTACCCCACCAGGCAGCTGCAGGGCGCCCGCCGCCGCGACCGCTCAGATAGCCCCGCTCCTGCCGACCCGGCCCCGCTCGCTGCCCCGGCTGCCGCCAGCCTCCTGGTCGCCTCCTTGTCCAGCTTGCGCAGGAAGGCGTGAAGAGCCTTGCGCACCGCCAGCATGACCCCCATGGAGGAGCCGCGCAGCAGCAGGTAGGGGGTAGCCGGTGTGGCAGGGCGGGGAGGGGGAGGGGAGTAGAGGACGGGGCCGGCGGGGCCCAGGGAGAGGCAACGCCGCAGGTGCTGCCTCCGCTGCAGCTGATGCTGCTGGTCGGGTGGGCAGCCGGTCAGACGCTGCAGGGCCCGTGTGACGACGGCGGCGGGCGCGAGGAGCTTCTCCACCTGCTCCTGCTCCTCCGCATCCCACACCCCCTCCTCGCACTTCACCAGGGCAGGGTGCTCCGAGACATGTCGCAGCCGCAGTAGCAAGCTGCAGCCGCCGCCAGCGCTGCCGCCGCCGCTGCTCCCCATGCCGTTGTGACCTGCTGCCGCCTGCTGCTGCTGGTGTCCCCCTGCTGCACCCTGCCCCTCATCGGCATCCGAGTCGGAGCCGGAGCCCGAGCTGTCCTCCCCGCCGCCGCTGCCCTTTACAGATCCGCCGGGCGCTGCCGCCGCCGGCGCCGGCGATGCTGCTGCTGCTGGTAGTGCCCTAACCGCCCCCTGTTCCCCCTCCGCACCCCCCTCCGCCACCACCTCCAGCCGCAGCGGCTTGCCCACCAGCAGCCTCAGCGCCGGCAGGGCCTGTCCCGCCCGCACCCGCAGCAGCCCCACCTGCACGCAGCGCCCCGAAACCCGGCCAGGCACCCAGTCCCCTGCCGTGCACACCCCCACCAGCAGCCGCAGCGGCTGCAGCTCCGCGCCCAGCAGCTCCTCGTCCGCGCCCACCAGCGACAGCTCCTCAACCGCCACCTCGCAGCCCTGCCGTACACGGGTTGTACGGCAGGCCAGCAGCTGCCGTGCAAACTCCGCCAGTCCCGCCGCCAGGATGACGTAGCGCTGGCTGCCTAGCTGCAGCGACCTGCAGGCGCCGCCCTCCAGCGTCAGCACCGCGTCGAAGTCAAGCAGCCCCGCGCTGAAGCCGCTCCAGTGCAGCTGCAGCAGCCGCAGGGAGGTGGGAAGGTACGACAGCAGCAGCGTCAGGGCGCCCGGATTGCTGCTGCCGGCAGCGCCGTCGGAGATGCTGCTGTCGCAGTGGGCGCTGCCGGTAGTGGAGGAGGAGTCCTTGCTGCCGGCTTTCTTGGCGCCGTCGTCGCTGCCACGTTGCTCTGATGCGGGCAGTGCGGGGCGGCACTTGACGAGGCAGAGCTCTTGCAGGCGCTGCAGCTGCGAGATACCCGCCAATGCCGCGGCGCTCATTTCTGCTGCCCGATCGGGCCCCTTGTTAGCGCTCATGTCTACTACCAGTCGCGTTAGACTGCCCGAAAGCGCGCCCACGTGCTCCAGCCCCTGCCAGCTAGGCAGCCGCAGCACAGCTAGGTGCAGTGCAGTGGCCAGGCCTCGAAAGAGCATATGCTGGTGCAGAGGCTTGTACGACATGGCGCGGTGAAGGCCGGCCAGGTCCAGGAGTTCTAAAGCCGGAAGCCATGTGGCGAGTGAGGCTACTGCGACCTCCGCCCGCGTGCTCTTGACTTTGTGTGTAACGGATATTGAAAGCTCCTTAATCTGCTGGCGTGTAACTTCATGCTCGTCGATGAAGGGCAGGAGAAGGAGAGTGTCCGTCTTGGAATGGCTGCCAGGCACGATGCCGAGGTTGACAATTTTGCATTGCGGCCAACGGGAAATAGATGGGCGCTGGTCTGATTGCCAGAGTTTAATGCGTTTCACGTCAATGTGAAGATTGATGGCCTCAATACACCCGTCAATATGGGAGCGAACATCGCGGCACACCAAACGGATCTCTTTAAAGCATTCGGCCTCCTTCAGGGCTGCTATAAATACCTTTGTAGAATCCCTGCCTAACTGTTGTAGCACGGAAACAAAATGCAAGGCTTGCTCTCTAGACGGCTCCATTGGCGCGCAAGGCACTATGACTTCGCCAATCGTGGGACGCTTCTCAAGAGGAGTAAACAAAACGAACTATTAAGCCAGCAATCTTAACGGGGTTTAGATATGCGTGGCTGCAAAAAGGATGCGCTGTAGAGCTAGGCCTTGTCTTCCTCTAAACAGCTTGTTGGTTTATAGCTCGTTCCACTAATGTAGGAGTGGTGTGTTAAAGAGTAAGCAGTACCCCTCACGCCTATCCGCGAGCTACCCTGTGCAACATCCATTTCGTTTGCACGACACCTGCGCCATGACTGGTTAATGCCGCATCTACCGCCTAGACTAATTAGGAAACACGCAGTGGAAGGAAACATGCAACTAATGCGGAGCATCGCATTTCGTGTGTGGAGCCGCTGGCCAAAAAATCCGTCAGCTTCGCAGGCCACGGGGCTCGGCCCCCACCCCCAAAAATGAAGGCGAGGCTGGCGAGGCGGGTGCAGTTGGCGACGATGGTGCCTTGTGGATGACTGTACGCATGCAGTCAGGGCATTTATGTAGCGCGGGTGTATTAGCGTCGTCTTTTGTTGGAAGGAATGAACTCTGTTCTACTGTACGGCATAGCATGTGGGGTTTAGAGTCAAGACTACACGTTGCTTAGGTGGCGATGTGCGCAGCAGTGTTATAAACACGCTGTCCACATTGTTTCAGGTGTACAGACGGTAACTGGTGCTAGCTGGATGCCCAAACTGCTATAGCTCTGACGAGCCTTTATATATGGTTGACCCATGGGTCAGACTCATATGGGGGCTCGTACTGCAACTAGGCGCAGACATATGCGATTACCGGTACACTCGATAAACTCGGTCCAGGAAGCGAAACAGTTGCCTTGCTGGGTGCATGTCGCACTGTCAGCGCAAGAAATGTCGCCTATACACACCATACATCACTCGATTGCGCCGGAGAATTTCCGCACATTTTCCCGTCTACAATACGCAAGACGCATGCAACTACGGATAAACATGGCTGAGTCCCCTACACCCCTGCGATGACTTCATGCCGAACCCCAGATATTACCGGTAACACGCAAATGCAGTGCCGTTACCTGACATTGCTGTCCATTTGCGGGCTACAGCGTAGGCCAGTGTGGCTAACAAAGGGAGACAAAGAAAAAACAAAACAGAAACGTGCGGGAGAAAAATAAGTGCCATGACGAAGCGCTACAGAGGAGGAAACCGAAGGGCCGTACACATGGTACAGCGTGCATAAAGACAAGTAACCCGGCGAATTATTCCAGCAAAATGTCACAACTTGGCAGCGTTCAAGTGAACAAAAGTGAAGGGAAACGCCGTATCCGAGCTCTTATTGAACGAATCAAATACGAATGCCTGCCCTAACTCCGCTCGTCACAAACTTACAGCTAGACTTCACACTCGCACCTCCAGAGCTGAACACACAAAATACGAGTTCAATGCGTCCTGCAGCACAGCCATGCGTTGCACCATGAGCGGCACATGCGATGAATTGCCGGTCAACCTAACTATCTTGATCTAATCACGACCAAATCAGGGTCAGTGATCGCATGACCTTGTCAGCAGTCCCTGCGAAGGCTATCAGGTAGTAGCGCCCAACGTGGGCTGAGGCCCCAGGGCACGGCGTGGCAATTGCCTTCGAGACGCCGCGAGGAAGGATGCCCATTGTGTAATTCTGGCCGCCAATGGTCACGCTTCGTCGCTTGCTGGTGCCGAAAACCATGCCATGTACAGCGGTGTCATCGAAATGAACCAATGCGCTGATGATGTACTCGCCGGGCTGTAGCTCAAAGGAACCCGGATCCCCGGCAGAGCCGCCATGGGCAGGTGCTGACGCCGTCCCATAGTGTACTTGGAGGCTATTTAGGGTGCTATTCGCGGTGTATGTAACTCGCTGGATTGGGTTCTCTCCCCATAATGAGATGGAGAGGTCATCAAAAGCCGAACCATCGTTGGTTGCTCCGTACGGGCCCATGATCTGGTTACACGACTGCGGCTCAAACGGCGGATAAGGCGGCTGCTTAAGCTGCTCTAGGAACATGTGCGTGTAGTTGTTGGCTGCTAGGTCGATAACCCGGAAGGAGTGGATGTCGGCCTCCTCAGTTCCTCGACCTACATCACAAAACACGCGTGTATGTCAGAAACCACCTGCGCAGAGCACCTCAACGGAGGCCTGTAGGGGACCCTGACTCAGATTAACTCCGCTTCTCATAGAGTCTTTGGCCCCCCTGGCTCGTACGGACACACGTACTCGCGTACTTAACATGCAATAGAGTATGCGTGTGGAACTAGGACTGACACCACGGCGAGACTTACGTAATGGGATGCACTGAACGGACATGCAGCCTTGGGTATCGGACCATTGCTTCTCCAGCTCTGTCAAGCCGCCGTTGCGTTCAAGGTGGACCCATGGGACTTTAGCGCCGACACCGCCAGGAAGCTTGCCGTGGAATTCCTGAACACACCAAGAACAGCACGGATTAAACATAGGTCGAAGCAACAAAGACTAAAGCCCACTTTACCTTGGTCCATGGCAAGTAGGCGACCCGGACAGACGGGTCGACTGCCACACGCTTGGCACCTAGGCGCCGGTAGTCCTCGCAGATCAGGGAGCATTCGCTTATATCACACTCCCCGTCCTCTACCAGGCTAGCACGGAACCGCAAGCCTGTACACATCAGCAGTAGCCTTGATTGGATTTAGATATCGGGAAGACTGCACGCAACCGCCGATTCGGGGTATCAGAGGCGCAAGTCCTCTGCCTACCATTTGCTAGAGGTATGGCGCTCATCACAGCCGCTCCGTTCCAGCAGCATTTCACGGGAATAGGCCAACCCCGGTGGAGACCGTCAATTGTGCGAGTGTCAGGTGTGATGGGGTCGACCTTGGCGAACTGCGAAGGACAGGACGCAAAGTCAGAGACGTCCGTACAACAACGAGGCGAAAAAGAAACGTACCGGGTTTCCACCAAGGTCGCGTGATACCCACGCATCTGCAGGAAGTCCCGCGATACCGTAAGAAGCAGAGCGCATGTGCCTAGGACATCAATACGATCCCACCGTAAAACTCGTATCGTGGCTTGATTTTAGCAGCCTGTGTCCTTGCATCTGCAGCAGCCTGCCTGGCAGACTCTTCAAGGTGCACTTCTGACATGCGTTTCATAGCGGCATGCCAAACCGAAGCTGCTGATGAGCTGTTTTTGGCTTTAGCCGCCGCCGCAGCAACAGCAGCAGTAGTAGCAACAGTAGCTGGCGTGGACAGCAGGTTGCGACGGAACCGCTGGGTAACTCCAGGCATGCGGCCTTTCTTCCCGCCAACCCACACCTGCAAAAAAGACGAGAGTCTCAGGGACCGCCAGAAGCATTTGGCGCAACAGCATGGCTCACCTCAAAGTCAAGCCCGCAAGCAATATCTGCCTTCAGGTGGCTCAGGCGGAATAGATCGGCGGCGCAGAAGAAGACTGCATGCAATGAAGGTTGTTTGGTAAGGCAGAACGTTACCCCGCAAGCAGGGCCGCTAGGGCCTACGCTTACCGTCATTAATGAAGTACACGTAGTCGTACGCCCCACGTGGGGCTCCGTACAACGGCTCCAACGCAGCATTTCGAAGCTTTGCCAAGAACTGCAACAGGCGGCAGGGTTAATACACGCGCGGCACGGGATTCCAGACAACAGGGGCGTACCTGGATACGGTGTTGCTTGTAGAACTTTCCGTTATAGGGATCCATCAGCGTCTGGCGAGTAAGTGAACCGTTGGTCACAACGAAAGAGCGGATGCCAGCTGCAGTCCAAAGCGCCTCCGCGACTTGTAGCCATAGGGCAGTGTTGTCCGTGCTACCACTCTCATAGATGGATATGTGGGTTAGGCCCTTCTCCGGGGGCACGTGAACGCTTGAGGTGTTGTGGAAGAAGGCGGACAGGACTCGTTGATCTCCTTGAAGCAGAAGGGCAAGCCGCAGCACCTCGAGGGTCCAATACTGCGAGAGCGAGGCAGGCAAGTATAAGCCACACTTACTGGTGCAAAGCAAGACGGCTAACCAGACAAGCTTACCGGCATAATAGCCTCGCAATTAAACAGGTTGGCCGCAATCAAGTACTTGAATTGCCCAGCTGTTGTGTGTGGAATGCCCGGACGGTCGAGACATGCCGGTGCTATGGCAGACGATCGGATACCTGCCAAGAGGTCTACAGCAGCAGGTAGATACTTCTGTGCGTCGGCTGGGATATCCTTCGCTAACCGAAGCGCGCGGTACAGAGGAACTGGAGGCAGTGTGACAACAGCCACCGAAAGAGCTGTGGCTACAGCTTGCGCTGTAGCGGGTGACTCTGATGCCTTATTATGAAGTGCTCTAGCTTGCCCAAGTAATTTAATAACGTCCTCGGTCTCGACTCTCGGAATGCCCGGTACAAAGAATGACAAGTCCTCCCCTTCAAGGGGCTCAGAAGCCCAAGCAGTCCAAGCTAATAGGAAAACAAGTGACAGACGGTATGGAGTCTTCATTATTACAAACACAATCCTTCCTAACAGCTGGGTACAGCGCCCCTACCCCGGACGGGAATCTGAGGTCGCACAGGGCCTCATAGAGCGTGCTGTGCTTCCAAGCATGCGACATAACAGGCTTTTGGCTTAATCTTTGCTTCATTCACAATCTTTCAGTCTCACACCATGTTGTATTTCCGTACTGCCTTCCTTGCCTGCGATTTACGTCCGTATCTACACAACACTTTCAACGCAACCTTTACAACAAGCATTACGCCAATAATAAGCCAATAAGCCAATAATATTAATGCGTACTACCGGTATACGGGAGCCCTAGCTGGCCATCTTGTTTTACCGCATACACCGACGAGCCTTTCTCTGCCAGATAAAGACACGATGTGATACGGCAATGGGGCACTCGTAGTGCTATAGCAGTGCGAGGAACTGAGTGCCGTGTGGGCAGCAACTGTCAGTGTATACACACCATGGCGCCAGCAAGGGCGGCAGCGTGGTCCCTGCAGCTGCACCAGCGCCTGCTCACTGCTTAGTGTTAGAAGCCTAAGGCTGTCACCTCTTAGTGATCTCCATGATAGGCTGAATGATAGGCTTGGGGCCCAGGAGGGCACGCATCTGACAGGTCACATGCCTTGTCGAGGGTCCCTGCGCCCTCTGGCCCGACGAACGTGCAGGCATCCAGGTGGGCCGGTAGCCGGTCGGTAGCGGTGAGATGGCAGCGTTGAGGGTTCTGGGCATGCAGCCCAGGAACTACTTCCTATGCTGAAACGGTGTTTGTCAACACCACTATCTTGGACACAACCGATACTCCCACATACCGGTACATCAAGCGAGGGCATAGCAACTTCCTGCGCAGCGTGTCCCTCTCTGTAGCATCCTCAATCGCCCTTGTACCTTGGGCTCGGTCCCAGTGGCTGGTAGCCGATGAAAGCTGCCGACTGGAGTTTGGAGGTCGTGCTTGCAATACCTGCCTATCCCCATGCCGCTGCAGTGCCTGCCCCAGTCTGTGCTTCTGCTTCTTCAGCACATGCGCTGGCTGTTATCCCCTACCCCTGCATTCGCTGTTGCTCCCTGTGCAGTTCCTGTGGTGCAAGCAGCGGCTCCTGCTTCTCTGGTGTGTGCTGGGCTAATGCTCCAGCAAATCCCTTGTTACTCTCCTGCGCCTGCCTTTCTGGTGCTTGGCCCTCCGCAATGATTTGTGCTCTTTACCCTTATGGCTGGTGCTTCAGATCAGCGGCTGCCCGTGTGCCTGCGGTTGCTGACGTTGTCCCCGTGCGGAAATTCGATGGGGTGGTGATGCTGCATGCGGCAGGAGGTGCGGGTATTGACTTAGGCGGGGCGCAGGGTAGGTCAAGTGGGTTGTGCGGAGGAATACACCAACAATCGGTTTAGATACTTACGGAACTGGTTTGGCGATCCAGATTCCACAGCCGTACAGCCTGTTACTGAACCTGTAAGGCTGTTCCTGTCTCAATGCTCAGTTGGTGCTTGATTCATTTTAGTTCGGGATTGCTTGAGTTACATCTGAGAGTGGTTACAGCATAGCTTTAGAATGCTGCGCCCGCCCGCCCTGTGCAGCAACACCGGAGGCGCACCTCGCAGCGGCCAGCCTCACTGCACAGAACAGGAGGCTGCGAGGGCGGGTGTAGACAGCGGACCAAGCATAGGACCCAGCGCTGTTGTGGGGGTGCTGCGGAGGTGGTGCGAACACGTCATATTGGGGGTACGGCAGCTGGTGTGTTCGTGGCGGCTCGTTAGAGGGTGGGTGCAGGGGAGGGCAATGCCGGGCGCTGGTTGGGTTCAAGGCACCACTAAGCGGTGGCCTGGCTAGGCCGTTGGCACGGGGAGTGGACCTGGCAGGTGGATAATCTGCCGTCTGACGTACCGGTATCAGCAGGGGGCTGCGGGTTGGGTGGGTGCGAGGTCGGGAGCATTGATGGTCCCCTCCACTCTCTCCCCGAAGGCGCTCACTGCATGAGTCGGGATTCGGGTTTGGGACTCCGTTGCTTACTTTCTATTTATTTTTCTCGCCTCATCTCTACGGCTTCCCCCCTTGTGCGCTGGGTGCTTCGCGTATCTTCCTTGTCCTCTGCGCCTTCCACCCACCCGCTGCAGCACCTGCATTGCCCCTCCGGCCCTCTCTCGGAATGCGGCCACAGGTGTGCGCACCCCGCAGGAGCCGGCTGCCCACCCTTCCTCTCCTCACTTCGCGACCGCCCTCCCTTTCGCTTTCCTCAACAGACGCATCTATACCCACAGCCCGGCCGAACTTAAGACTTTTCATCGTGCTGTGAACAGCACTGCGCTACTGCAGCCAGCAGCATGTGCACTGGAAAGATACTAAACTTGCATGCAAGCCGCTGTGTAAGCCGTAGCCACCTGCCCCTTTCCAGTCGCCCATACTAATCATATCGGCGTTTCTTGCCCCGTCGTCAAATACAGAACTAGCTCCGGCCAAGTGCTTGACAACATGGACATGGCATTCTGGGGGCAGCACCAATGTATGGTCGGACGTTGCTTGCAGACTACCTACTGATGAAAGAAAGGAGCGTCAGCATTTCCAAGCAGAGCCTATAACCTTAGGAAACTTATAGACGTGCTCCTTGCCCAAAACCGCTCCAGGGTGGCTCCAAGTCTTTAAAGACAAAACCCGCAGCTGCTCGGAAGGATTGTGTTTGTAAAAATGAAGACCCCATACCGTCTGTTACTTGTTTTTCTATTAGTTTGGACTGCCTGGGCTTCTGAGCCCCCTGAGGGGGAGGACTTGTCATTCTTTGTACCAGACATCCCGAAAGTCGAGACCGAGGACGTTATTAAATTGCTTGGGCAAGCTAGAGCACTTTATGATAAGGCATCAGAGTCACCCGCTACAGCACAAGCGGTAGCCACAGCTCTTTCGGTGGCTGTTGTCACACTGCCTCCAGTTCCTCTTTACCGCGCGCTTCGGTTAGCGAAGGATATCCCAGCCGACGCACAGAAGTATCTACCTGCTGCTGTAGACCTTTTGGCAGGCATCCGATCGTTTGCCATAGCACCGGCATGTCTCGATCGTCCGGGCATTCCACACACAACAGCTGGGCAATTCAAGTACTTGATTGCGGCCAACCTGTTTGACTGCGAGGCTATTATGCCGGTAAGCTTGCCTGTTTAGCCGTCTTTCTTTGCACCGGTAAGTATGGCTTATACTTGCTTGCCTCCGTAGTATTGGACTCTCGAGGTGCTGCGGCTTGCCCTTCTGCTTCAAGGTGATCAACGAGTCCTGTCCGCGTTCTTCCACAACACATCAAGCGTTCACGTGCCCCCGGAGAAGGGCCTAACCCACATATCCATCTATGAAAGTGGTAGCACGGACAACACCGTCCTATGGCTACAAGTCGCGGAGGCGCTTTGGACGGCAGCTGGCATCCGCTCTTTCGTTGTGACCAACGGTTCACTTACTCGCCAGACGCTGATGGATCCCTATAACGGAAAGTTCTACAAGCAACACCGTATCCAGGTACGCCCCTGTTGTCTGGAATCCCGTGCCGCGCGTGTATTAACCCTGCCGCCTTTTGCAGTTCTTGGCAACGCTTCGAAATGCTGCGTTGGAGCCGTTGTACGGAGCCCCACGTGGGGCGTACGACTACGTGTACTTCATTAATGACGGTAAGCGTAGGCCCTAGCGACCCTGCTTGCGGGGTAACGTTCTGCCTTACCAAACAACCTTCATTGCATGCAGTCTTCTTCTGCGCCGCCGATCTATTCCGCCTGAGCCACCTGAAGGCAGATATTGCTTGCGGGCTTGACTTTGAGGTGAGCCATGCTGTTGCGCCGAATGCTTCTGGCGGTCCCTGAGACTCTCGTCTTTTTTGCAGGTGTGGGTTGGTGAGAAGAAAGGCCGCATGCCTGGAGTCACCCAGCGGTTCCGGCGCAGCCTGCTGTCGACGCCAGCTACTGCTTCCACTGCTGCTGTTGCTGCTGCGGCGGCTAAAGCCAAAAACAGCTCATCAGCAACCCCGGTTTGGCATGCCGCTATGAAACGCATGTCAGAAGTGCACCTTGAAGAGTCCGCCAGGCAGGCTGCTGCAGATGCAAGAACGCAGGTTGCAAAAGTCAAGCCACGATACGAGTTTTACGGTGGGTTCGCATTGATGTCCTTGGCACATGCGCTCTGCTTCTTACGGTGTCGCGTGACTTTCTGCAGATACGTGGGTATCACGCGACCTTGGTGGAAACCCGGTACGTTTCTTTCTCGCCTCGTTGTTGTACGGACGTCTCTGACTTTGCGTCCCGTCTTTCACAGTTCGTCAAGGTCGACCCCATCACACGTGACACTCGCACAATTGACGGTCTCCACCGGGGTTGGCCTATTCCCGTGAAATGCTGCTGGAACGGAGCGGCTGTGATGAGCGCCATACCTCTAGCAAATGGTACGCAGAGGACCCTAACACCCCGCATGCGTGCAGTCTTCCCAATCTCCTCAATCTAATATACTCTACTGTTGCTGTTACAGGCTTGCGGTTCCGTGCTGGTCTGGTAGAGGACGGGGAGTGTGATATAAGCGAATGCTCCCTGTTCTGCGAGGACTACCGGCGCCTAGGTGCCAAGCGTGTGGCCGTCGACCCGTCTGTCCGGGTCGCCTACTTGCCATGGACCAAGGTAAAGTGGGCTTTATCTTTACTGCTTCGGCTTATGTTTAAACCCTGTTGTTCTTGGTGTGTTCAGGAGTTCCACGGCAAGCTTCCTGGCGGTGTCGGCGCTAAAGTCCCATGGGTCCACCTTGAACGCAACAGCGGCTTGACAGAGCTGGAGAAGCAATGGTCCGATACCCAAGGCTGCATGTCCGTTCAGTGCATCCCCTTACGTAAGTCTCGCCGTGGTGTCAGTCCTATTCCTACACGCATACTCTATTGCATGTTGCCCCCTCTTGTCACCGTCACCACGCGTGTTTTGTGATATAGGTCGAGGAACTGAGGAGGCCGACATCCACTCCTTCCGCGTTATCGACCTAGCAGCCAACAACTACACGCACATGTTCCTAGAGCAGCTTAAGCAGCCGCCGTCTCCGCCGTTTGAGCCGCAGTCATGTAACCAGATCATGGGCCCGTACGGAGCAACCAACGATGGTTCGGCTTTTGA